AAGCAGCAAAGGCTGCAATGGCAAATACAACTTGCTAGTTTTCTGTACAAAATGCAAACCCAAGAAACTACTTCCTCTTTCTGAGCACTTAACTCACACAACACATGTGAATGTGAACACATGTGAATGTTTGCATTTATATAAACCATGGCAGTCTGGGAAGAATACAAAAGCTTGTTAAACACTCAGTCTTAGAACCCCATGTTATTTTAGGTCCCAAATCCAGCAACTCTAGAAGGCACTGAAATACCCACACCAAGTCAATGTAAGGAATGACTCATTAGGATTTCACACACGATCTTCCCTGTCTCTTCACATGCTTCCCATCATGCCAGCACACATGGGACCCCATCTTCCATTGCTACTCCATGATACCTTCAAAAGAATTTACAGCAAGACAAAAGCATGTGGACAGGGAGGTTATCTTACCTGAACACCTAGCATATGTCACTATAATATTCAATTTACTAAACATTCAGATTTGTAAAATGTTCACATTTTAGCCTATTTTGGAGAATCTGTAATAATCTGTGAGTGCAGCTTGGCCATTGCTTTGATTGCATTATTGTTAGGCTTGTGAAACTGCTGCTCCAAAACTTTAAAGAGGTATTATTAAAGTAGGTTAAGTCAAGGGCTTGAACCCTTCGGAAGTCAGCTCTTTTCATCTGCAATTCTGTTCATGTCTTTTTAAATGAGAAGGGGTTTTCAGCCATCAGGAACAGCATATAGCTTGGAGTGTTATGGGCACTTTTTGGGGCCTGAGGGTATAAACACGTTCTCCTAGCCTGCAAGACAGGCAGTGCAGTTCTCATGTATACCAATTTGCAAATTGAATTTCATCAGCAGATGCAAAAAATATGAGCAGAAGCCCTTTTTTTTTTTGGGCTGGTCCCCACAAAGACCCAAAAGGACTGCACCAGTATACCACATGCCTGTTGTCCATCCATCCATCCTGATTACTTCTGGCCTTATCAGCCAATTTCACCAAATTTGAATGAAACCAGAAGTCTCCAAAGCAATAAAATTTTTTGCAAATTTCCAACTAAAAAAAAGAGCAACTCCAAAAGGAGTTCCAAAATTTGCATCTACAGAATAACTGAAACACAGCAGCTGTATGTTTTTCTGCAGCAGCATGATGTCAGACAGTACCTGCTGACTCTTACTACAAGAGCATCAAGGAACAGCTGGTGAAGGCAGGCAGAGGAAAGTCAGAGCTGTCTGAGCCAAAGGGCAGAGTGTAATCACATCTAGTTACCTTCATTCTGTTCTCGAGAGGAAAAAAGCTGCTTTAATAAATAAAATAGCCATGCAGCTTAGAGAGCTGAGCATTATCCTGTGATTATTTAAATCCAGCCAGTGCTAGACTTTCTAGCACAGAGCTTTCTGTCCCATGGCTTTCAAAAAGCTTTCATAAGTATTTGTCAGCACAGATCCAGCTGCAGGAGGCCTTACAACAAGGTGACAGATATCTTCACCAGCTTATTTAAAAAACCCAAAAAACCTCTGAATCAAACTCCCAACACCCAGGTTTAGATTGCTGCTTTCACCTCAAAGCTGCACAACAGTGGGACAAGCTTCAGGTAATTCCTTCCCTGCAGAGGGACAGGGCTCAGCCTGGATCCCAGCAGCAAGGAATATACACTGATAGCTGTCTGGCAGGAATTATCCTCCATCACTCAGTGACCTTCCACCACATGTGGCCATACCCAAACAGCCTATGGGACTGATGTATGTCAGTCCCACAGCAGGTGCCAGGAGCTCCAGCATGAAGTGTCAGGCAGCAGGCAGTGTGTGGACTTCACAGCAGTGTGTGTGCCTGTGGGGTGGAACAGGCAAATGTCTGCAACTATGCACTTCTGGATTGCTGAGCCACCCTCCTGCAAAAATTCTGATGTCCTTCCCCTTTGTGGGCCTGTAGCAGGCTGTATGTAAATAAACACACAGGGGTTCATATTTACTGCTTATCAGTAGCATAAGCACAAGCTTGTACAGCAAACATGCCAAAACACAGGTATTTCCTTTTACTGCCATTTAAACCACAACACCATGGTAGTCCAGAGTTCTCCTTTCTACCTGAATTGCCATTTAAATGCTCAGGAACCATTCAGGGAACGTGCTGTCAATAAGAACAATGTACAGGTTCATTCAGTTGGAGGTATGAGCATGTAAATGACAATCGTCTTTGTGGAAAGATTCATTTTGCTAATCTTATGGCTATCTGAGCACACCCACAAAGATGAAGGGATGATTGGCAGATTTCTTTTGGGAACTTTAGGTGGATCCTTTCAAGTCTTTAGAGCTACTGCACCTTGTTAGTGTTGTAGCCAGAGGGGCAGGGAGTGACTGGGTCATGAAGGGAGCAGTAGATCACAGCATCTGGCATACCTGAAAACAGAGAGACAGATCCAGAGCAGAGTTTCATGAACCAAAGCAAAGACAAAGATGTGGCTTGCAGATCTGCAAAAGGGAACAGGGTATTGTCCCCCACACAAATACATCCATTCTGACAAAGAAAATATTGTTCATCTATCTCAGCACCAAAGAAGACAGATTTCTTCCCCAGCTTTACTAACTGCCTGGAGAAGAGTGCAGCAGCAGCACAAACCACAAAACAACACTCTTTGGTTCTGCAGCCTGCATAGCTGCTTTGGGATTTATTTATGTTACTTCTTGATTAATACTCTACCTATTAAAGTTTTCCAGATCCAACAGCTGACTCACTTGGCCACTCAACTGGTAACTGCTGGAGACACCTCACACTCAACACAATCCAAACTAGCAGCAATCCCAAGCCTAGAACTTTTAAGGAAGGACAAAGTAGAATCATAGAATGGTTTGGCTTGGAAGGGACCTGAGAGATCATGCCTCATGGGCAGGGACACCTTCCACTAGACCATGCTGCTCAAAGGCCTATCCAACCTGGCCTTGAACATTTCCAGGGATGGGACATTCACAACTTCCTTGAGCAACCTGAGTGGCTCACCACCCTCACAAGAGTGAGAACAGGAGAGTTAGAGAACGTTTCAACTACACAAATGAGAAATTTATCATCCCTGCTGGACTGGAGGTTTCAAATGTCAGAGAGCTAGACAGTATGCCTCCACGACATAAAGCCTCCTCTTCAGAGATAGTCACTGAAACTGGTAAAGCCTCCAGGAAGTTCCAGACAAATACATTTTTCAATTTTTCTTGAAGAAGTAAATTGCTCCAAACAGGTATGGTTTATTGAAATTTGGATGCAAACTTCCTTCGGAAAACCAACCCATAATTTTTTTTATACATAATGAAATGTATGTCCCAAAATTTTATGTGCTTTTTAAAAAAATAAAACAAACAAAACAAGCCTAGGCAACTCATTTTTTTTTCTTGTAAAATGTGCTGGATTCCATATACAAAGAACTGTCTGTAATTTATAGAAATTACAGACACATCATCACCCTGTTGCCTGATGGAAGGATTTCTGGCCATACTAGTGACAACATACAATTTCAAGTCTTCCCTAGTGCCACTTTGATTGAGAAAATCCCTAAATGTGCAAAGCCTACATCTTTCTGCCTACTATACTACCTGAACATGCTCTAGTGGGATCCACCTGCATTATCTCTCAGATATACAAGCAAATACTTGTACTTTACCCATAAATTTTGCAGCTCCTTCCTTATATTCTTCTAGGACATCATGAATTTCTGCCCTGCAATCCAGATATAGGAACACATTAACTAAGCAGACAACTGTCTAGAGATTGGTGTTTTCATAACTAAGGGGTTTTTTCCCATACTTATGCATTGTCTGACACTGAGCTGGTATTTGCCATCCAGCTGTCAGGAAGTGAAGCAGGGACAGATGGAATGAAATGCCAGAGTCACAGAGCTCTAGAATCACAGCTCACAACCTGGGGCACTCATAATTCTGTGGCAAAAAAGTAAAGCTTTCACCTTCACTGACCAGGGACCACTGACTTGAGGGAGAGCATGAAGCTATACCGTGACTTTTTGGGGACCATCACTAGTGTGTTCACATCGTTCAATAGCTGCACAAGCTTTACCATGTTATCTTTCTTTTTGGTTGCAACTTAACTAGCTTTGAGAGTTACTTGCTGCTCCAGTTTTACATTAAATGTCTTCAGGTATGGGGTACCTACCACCTCTCTTGGCAACCTGGTCCAGTGTTTCACCATCCTCATTACAAGAGATACCCTCTTATAGTTTAAACCCATTACTACTAATCCTACCACAAGAGGCTCTGTTAAAAATCTGTTCCCATCTGTCCTATAATCCCCCTTTAGGTATCAGAAGCCTGGTAAAAGGTCTCCCTGGACCCTTCTCTCCTCCAGGCTGAACACCCCCAAATCTCTCTGCCTATTGTTACAGGAATGTGTGGTGCTCCAAAGGACCTGGTCCAACAGGCCCACATCCTTCTCATGGTGTGGGCTCCAGAGCTGGATGCAGCACTCTCGGTGGGGTGTCAGTAAAGCAGAGGGGCAGAATCAGCCCCCTCGCCCTGCTGCCCACCTCAGGACGATGACTGTGAAGACACCACGATGGGTTTAGCCTAAAGACGCTAAAAATCACGCAGCCCTCCAGCTCCCTTCCCCTCACCTTTGCTACCCCGCCCCCGCACCTCCCTGGGATGGGCAAGCGGGCCCGGTACTCACAGGGCGGGCAGGGCGACGTGCGCCACGCTGGGCACGCCGCGCACCTCCCGCAGCGTGTCGTGGCTGAGGTGCGGCGCCGCGCCCGTCCGCGTGTACAGCAGGCAGCCGGGCAGCGCCAGCGCGCCGGCCCCGCCGCGGCCCAGCCCCGCCAGCGAGCCCAGCCGCCCGCCGCCCGCACCGAGCAGCTTCAGCCTCATCCTCGTCCCGTGGCGCCGGCGGAAGACGCCGGGCTAGGGGACGCGGAGAACGCGGGGAAAGCGGGGAAAGCGGACCGCCCCTTCCCGCCCCAGCCCTGGCCTAGCGTCATCAGCAGGCGCCGGCGGCCGGGCTCCGCTCTTCCGTTGCCATGGCCGAGAGGGGCGGGCGGCGGGCGGCGGTGCCCGGCGCGGCCATGGCCCTCTCGGGGCAGCGCCTCCCGCAGGTAACGGGGCACGGCGGGGGGAGCGCGGCCCGCTCGCCTCAGCGGCGCCGGGGACGGGACGCTTCCCTGGGATCCTGCTTCCTTGGGATCGCGGGCAGTCAGCACGGCAGGGTCAGGATCACGGATGAGGTTGCCCAGGCTCGTGCGGTGTGCCGGCGGGCGGGAAATCTGCACTGGACTCGAGCGAAAGGCGCTGAAGCTGGCATTGTGAAACTCGGGTTCAGGAAGAGGCACGGGAGCTTGGAACGCTGTGGTTTTCCTTAGTCCCTGCCGAGGTTTGGGTAGCTTGGAACAATGGGCCAAGGCTGAATAACTTGCACAGTGACATTCAGGATCAGGTTAGACGGGGCTCGGAGTAACCTTAGGTGGTGGAAGATCACAAAATCATTAAGGTTGGAAAAGACCTCTAAGATCATTGAGTCCAACCATTAATTCACCACCGGTGGGTTCACCACCAAACCATGACCTCAAGTGCCACATACACAGGTTGTTTGAACACTTCCAGGGACGGTTACTCAGTCTCTTTCCTGGGCAGCCTATTTCAATGCATGATCTCCCTTTCAGTGAGGAGATTTTCCCTAATATCCAATCTAAATATCCCATAACAAAACTTGAAGCTATTCCCCATTATCCTGTCACTTGTTACCTGGGAGGAGAGACCAACCCCCACCTAGCTACATCCTCCTTTCAGGTGGTTGTAGAGAGTGACAAGTTCACTCCTGAGCCTCCATTTCTCCACACTAAACAATCCCAGTTCCCTCAGCTGCTCCTCTAGACCCTTCAGCAGCTTTCACTTCTGAATAGACACCTCAGTGTCTTTCCTGAATTTAGGGAACCAGAACTGGACACAGGACTCAAGGCAGCGTCACCAGTGCTGAGTACAGAGGGACGATCCCTGCCCTGGTCCTGCTTGCCACACTATTGCTGATACAGGCCAGGATGCCATTGGCCTTCGTGGCCATCTGGGCACACTGCTGGCTCATGTTCAGCTGCTGTCACCAGCGCCCACAGGTCCTTTTCTGCCAGCCAGCTTTCCAACCACTCTTCCCTCACCCTGTGGTGCTGCCTGGGGTTGTTGTGACCCAAGTGCAGGACCTGGCCCTTGACCTTGTTGAACTTCATGCAGTTGGCCTTGGCCCATCAATCCAGCCTATCCAGACCCTTCTGCAGAACCTTCCTGCCCTCAAGTAGAGCAACATTCCAATCCAACTTGGTGTTATCAAAAATGCCCCTGCTCATGCCAGGGAGGCTGGACTATATGACCTGTAAAGGTACCTTCTAATCCAAACTCTATGAAGAACAAGGTGTTGCTATGCATAAAACTCAACACAAAAAACTTTCTGTTGAAGAGTGCTGCAGGTTTTTTGGGCAAGTAATAAAAGAGCTTTACCCCAAAGCACCGTGTCCTGCACCTGCAACCACCTGACATCAAAGAAAATGAATTCTAGGGTGAGGTTCCATTTGTTTTGCTTCCTTGGGCACACCCGTGCTCTCAACCTTCAGCCTGCTTCTTGTGGCAGGTAGGAGTGTGTATCTGCTTCCTCAGGCAGTATCCTGGGCTTCTGGCAGCAGCACAGAGGGAAGGAGTTCGGAAATCTGGACTGTCTGGGGCACAGGTGTTACTTGTGAAAACACAGTGACACGTCAGGACCATTAACATTTCAGAAAGATGAATATGGGACAGGTATTCTCTCAGCCTGGCTATGACAAAAAGCTGATATCAAATTTCATAGTTGCTGGTTGCTGGGCACTAGCTCAGCAAGTCTCCATCCAGCCCCCAGGGACTGGGTGCTTCTATTCTCTCTGTGTTCTCCAGTCTCTGTGTTTGGCACTAATTGCCAAATGACTGTTTATTGCCTAATGACTTCTAAGTCCAGTTTATGCAGTTGTAGAAATGTTTAAGCAGTTGTAGAAATGCATTTCAGAAACAATCTATTCCTTTATAACATGCTTTTATGTTACATTCCCACTGATGTTTGCTCTCTGGAGGCAAAATGTGGATATCGGAAGTGGAAAAATGAATATCCTTAGAAATGTTTTCCTTTCTTTAATTTAAGAGAGTGGACCGAGCCTCTGAGTATGCTGTCTCTGAAGCTTTTTCCCTTCAAAAGTCAAGGTGTCCACAGAGGCCTTGGGGTCCTGTGACAAGTTTGGAAACTGCAGAACGGCTGCAAGTTCATCATGAGGCCTGTGAGGAAGGTGAGGTAAAATTCTGCTTGCCACAAGATGCCTAAAATGAATTGTTCTTGATCCAGCTTTGCGGTTCTGACCTGAACAGGCTCTTGCAAATCTTGAGTTCACAAGAAACAGTTGATAGGAAGATGTCTTTCATCTAATGGAGAAAGGCATAAGAAGGATCAGTTGCTGGAGTTCAAGGCAGATCTTAAAGGGCATACCTGAGCGAAGGATAAACTCTCTGTCTCCTGGAGATACCAGGTCAAGACAAGGATAAGAACTGTCCTTGAAGATACACTGTATGGTCAAAGCCAAGTTAGTGCACTGCAGGAAACCAGGTGAAATCACCTGACATATTTATGATACCAGATTAGTTCTGGAAATGGAGTTGCTCTGTGTAAATTTCACATTTATGAATGACAGTGTGGTTTTGTTTTGATTCCCATGCAAAATTTTTCTTACTAGTTACCTAAATAAATATTTCTTTTGTAAAGCCTGCAGCCAAAAGTGCTTGCTGAAGTTTGAAAGTAAACCTGTGGTAGGTTTAAAAAACAAAAAGGAGGGAGATTATTACCCATCAGTGCTAGAAGTATGTCTGCAGTGTAAAAAGCTGATAGGAGACAGTATTTTAAAAACTGAGTTAACCATTCTTTTAAGAATCAAAAGTGAGCATTACAGAACAACATGATGACACATCTTAAGAGCATCCACTTCAGTCCAGGAAGTCAGCTTTTTCACTTGTAATCATCAAGGGTTCAGCTAACAGCATGGAATACACTTACCTGCTTACAGTGCCCTGTCTCAATGCATTATACAGCCAATGGCTTCAAAGGAGCTGTCTTTGCTGTGGTGAAGAACCTTGTCTTTCTTTTGGTGGAAAGGTTGCTTGCTTTCCTCATGTTTCTTTATTATTTTTGTTTGCCCTTTTCTGCTAGGATTTTCCTTTTTATAGCTAACAGTCCCTCAGAATTGTTCCTAAGTCAAATTCTTTTACCTGGAATCCATTATTACAATACTTAATGGTAGTAACTACACAAAGCCGACTTTGTAAAGAGAAGTGCCAGAAGACTTTTACTCTAGTTACAAGAAGATCACAAATCCCAGTGAAAAAAGTAACCCTTCCCCAAGTGGCAAGTTGTTTTCTGCTCTTTTCTGTTATCAGATACATTTCCCTGCTCCGGATCTGGCTGGAGAGATTATCAAAGAGAATAAAAGTGATTTGAAGGACAACAAACATTAGATTTATGTTTTCTTCAAAAAACTCACCATTTTCAAAGAAAGTTTGAAAAATGCTTTATTGCCTTAGAAATACCAGGGAGCATCTTCACTGTGTGTTAGGAGTGGATATGAGGAGCAGCTGCTTGCTCCTGTCCATCGACTGTGTGTCTCACACTGTGTCATGACTCCCGCTGGAGTGAGTGGCTGCTGGGATCCTGGCTCTTTGCCCATCCTCACCACACGGATGGCTGAGGATGGTTCTGATGCCTTGCAGTTTACAGCCCTGTGTCCTGCTTCAGGAGCAGCTTGGCCACCCATGCAGCAAGGCCAGCTGGTTTGTTTTAAGCAGCAGACCCATGAGCTGACCTTGCTTTTGAGAAGAAATTCTGAAAAAGGATTTTTTTCATTTTTCTGCAGAAAAGAATGGAGATGAAAACAGTCCATTGCAGGACTTCATACCTAGTTGTTCATTAGGCATTTGAGCTCACTGAGGAGTACCACATCCATCATGAGTGCATTCCTGTAGCTGCAGTCTTAACACTGAGTCCCAGGTGAAGTTTGCCACCTGATAGATTTGTAATTAGACTTACCAGTTGTTTCTGTGATACTTGCAAAGGGTTAACCTGTACACATGAAGCAAAAGTTTGTCCAAACTTTTGGTTCTTTTGAATTTAGCATATGACAGCCTTGGCTGCACATGTGGAAACCATCTAAGTGTCTGCAAGTGCAGTGGTAAAACATATGAAAGCTGTCTAAATTATGAATTACCTCATGTGAATTCCATCTCCTTGATAAATGCTAGAAAATAATCTAGTAACAAGTGATCTAAATGCCTACGGAATCATAGTAAAAATGAGATGGAGAAGAATGAATTTGTGATATACATGACAGGGAAAACATTTGCCACCTTCTCTTCCTGTTCTTTTACAGATCAAGAAGATAAGAACAGAACTATTAGCTTTATTCCATTTCCTGTTGCGGATTAGGTTTCAGTCATTCCTAGAATACTATCCCAAACTATTGCTAGTTTACACTTAGCCATATGTTTTTTTTTTAAGCAAGTGAAGTCATCAGTCTCTTTCTTCATGGTAGCCCAGGAGCTGCTCAGTAACTGGATGAAGTCCCAACTGCAACTGGAGCTGAGCAATGAAGAAGAGGAAGTTGACTGTGTCTTTCAGGAAGAGCCTTCTGCAGCCCCTCTGAAGTATGAGCACTTTGATGGTGAGAGCACTGCAGAGCAGGGCCTGGTTTCCTCTCTGAGGCTGTGCTGGGGAAGGAGGTCAGGTGTCTCCACAGGCCCCCAGCTGGGTAATAATTAGTATTGCCTCCATGATTGCAGAAGGCTGATCAATCACTTTATTCTACCATACTATATTATACTTATCGAGAAGCTCGTGACCCTTACAGACAGTCGCATACTGCTTTGACCTAATTGGTCAATTCCCCCAATCACCATCCAGTGTCCAATTAAGAAATCACCCTTTGGTAAACAATCTCCATAACACATTCCACATGTGCACAACAACAGGTGCAGCAGGTGGAGATAAGATTTGTTTCTCCTTCTTTTCTCTCATCTTCTCATGGCCTTCCCCAGGAGAGTGCCTGGGGAAGTTGTCTGTTGCTCTCTGTGGCCAGAGAGCTGCTGCCACAGTCAGGCCTTATGGTTTGTCTGAATGACTGAAAGGTAATAGTTGTTTTGAGGCCAGGACAGTGGACTCAGTAGAACCCAGACTAAATGTGATGATTTTTTCCCCCAGATCTTTACAGCATCTTGCTGTAGGGCTGCATAAATGTGACTCATAAACATTCAATGTCTCCCTTTGTAAAAGAGATTCCGTTTTTTCTTTTGTGAACAGGTATTTTTGAGGCCTGTCAAGTTTATACAGCCATTTGAGAAGCTCAGAGGCAAGACTGTAAAAAATTGATGAAACATTGTTACTGCTCTAGCGTGTTCAGTGGGAGACTGATTAAGACTCTGGGGATAAATGGAGTGCAGTCAGTGTGTCTGCATTCATCAGAAATGCATTCACAGTCTGGGGAAGTGATCCCTTTAATTACATTAGGCTTTGTGATCTGAGACAGAAGAGTTTATTCATTTCAGACTAGCCTGAGATAATCTGAATTTCTCATTTCAGACTTGTGCAGCTATCTGGAATGTGAAATGGAAAGTTCCTCTGTCCAGAAATACCTCCAGCATCTTTTGCAGAGTGAAGCTGTGAACTGTGGGATAGCGAAACATCTTAGACTTGAAGAGATCAAGGAAAAAAACAAATTTGCGGATCCACGAATAATCATGGAGCTCAGACACAAGCAGGTGAGCATGCAAGGCAGCTCAGTTAAAAGGAATAAGGTGGAGGATTATAGGATTAGAGTAAATGCTCAGTGATATCTCCCCAGTATTCTCTCAGAGCTGCAATAATCTCTGACTTGGAAGCAACTACCCAAAGATACTCTTCCAGAGTTCAGCTGAAACTTTACTGCATTTCCACGTGCACATCAGCCATTCAGCAGTAGCTTGCATAGTCAGCTTTCACTAAAACTGTTCAGGTTTTCCCCCTTTTCCTGAAGACTGACAGGAAGAGCTGCCACAGCTATCAGATCTGAGTTTGCTCCCATTAAGGAATATTGATTTAATTTCACTCTCTCACATGGAGTGTTTTGCTGGTCAAGAACAATTCTCTCCAGTCAGCACCTGCTACAGATAAGTTTTCTTGCTTAATGTGAAAGGTGGATTGTGACCTACCCTGGCAGTGTTCAGTGAACTTCAAATTCTTCAGCCTTTGGTGTTTGCTTTGACTTTTGCCAATTTTCTCCTGCCCAGGTGAAAGAAAACCGAATAAGGCATCAGAAGGCTTTAGAGCTTCAGAGACAAGAAGAGTCCTTGAAGAAAGCAATTCTGTCTGAGGCCAGGCTCCAAGCACAGGAGGAAGACAGAAGGAAGGCCCTGCAGGCTAAGAAGGAGGAAGAGGAGATCCAGAGGGAAATAGTGAAGCTGAGAAAGGAAATGGCTGAGAAGAAGTACACTGTGGCAAAAGTTTGGAGAATGTAAGGCAGGGTGTGGAGAGATGAAAACCACTTATAAGGTCCTTTTGTTAAATATAAGAGTAGTGGTGATCCCTAACAAAACAGCTGTTGCTGACTTGGAACTCTCCCAAAACCTATTAGTCCTCTGTTACCAACATCAGTGGCAGAGTTTTTCATGAGTGGGAAGGTGTGGTAAGGATAGTGTTATTCTCCCCTTGGCCATTATTACAGTATATGCACTGAATCACAAAGTAGCAGTGTGTTTGCACCACTGTGCATTCTCTCCATCAATACTGTGGCTACATCTAGTCTTGTCAGCATCTAATGCCACATGAAAGCCAGTACACAGAAAAAAATAGAAGAAAAAAGTCTGTGTTGAGAGTCTAGCCCTTTCAATACTTTCCCTACTATGAGAGAATAAAGAGCATTCTTGGCTGAGAATTCTGCAGAGACATTATTTTTTTCTTCTGCTGAGCTTGGATTCTCACAGAGATGTCCCTTTTAGGGATGCCATTTATTTACTTAGGCAGCCCTGAGATCCTAAATCTTCTTATAAAAATGCTTTAATGAAATATTTACTGGAATCATTTACTACTTTCTTCTGCCTTCTATGTTTAGGAAATGCACTGGAATGTTTAATCTCTGGGACCCCAAACCATTACAGAGGTGGTTTTTAAGGAGGCTGAGTTAAAATAATCAGCAAATTTCTAAGCTGTAGAGGTGGTTCTCTTACAATTGGCCAAAAAGAGAAGGTATTAGATTGTATATCATGATATTAGATCTGTGTGTTTGTTCACTTTGCAGGGAGGGGAAGAGACAAGGAAAAACTCAGAAGCTGTCAATGCAGGAGGTGGCTGCTGTGTCACCACCCCTGAAGAGAGAAGAGCAAGGAGAGGAGAAACAGAGAAGAACTCAGGAGTTGCTTCGCAGGATTCACACCAGTAAGCAGAGAGTGAGCATCACCTTTCTTTATCTGAGACTCTGAGCTACCTGCCTTGTCTACCATTTGCAAACCTGAAGTAAAAAGTCCTGGTTATACAGAATCTTTTACTTTTTCAAAGACTTCCTGATACCAGGAAAGTTGGAAAGCAGGGCCAAAAGTGTGTTATAAGACTATGAGCAAGAAATCCTGAGGTGCTGACCCCACTGGGCCTGTGCCTCAAGTGCATTCAGTGGGATATTTCACTTAGAATTGTGGAAAAGACATGGCTCTCAAGACAGATAAGACCATAAAGGCTTCTGCAATCAAGAAATAAAGACATATACAGAGAAGGAAGTGAAGTAAGATTTATTTTCCCTCAAGGAGGGAAATAATAGGGGAAAGTGGCAGAAAAAAGGCCTGGGAAGCCCTTATTGTGTGCATGGGGGGAAGACATTTTAAAGGTTGCCTTGCACACTCTACTTCAGGAGCAGGGAAAGGAAAGAGAAATGCTGCAGCCTGGGATGAATTTTGAGCAGTGGCTCTGAGAGTTGATCCATGCCAGTACATCCACAGTAACAGGTTCCTCAAGGATCCCTTCCACTGGGTACAGTAGGATATTCTGTGTTACTGCAATAACTCTTTTGATGCAAACAAACTTAAATAATTCCCAGTAGGAACCCCTTTGTTTCACGTTCATTATTCTGATACAATGGTCAGCTCTGGGTTAAATGTGTATCAAATATTCACTACCAAAGGATGATCTTTTAGTACTGAATAATTTTTTATTATCTCAGCAGTCTCAGCAAAGGAAATAAATTTCCTGAGTGCAGGTATGAATGCCATCCATCCCATAATGTTTTTAATTAATAGAGCAGTCATCATTTTTGATGTCTATATATCTACATCTAGGGTTTTTTTTCAGCAGAAGAATCCTGTAGATTTTATGGCGATTCTCCTCACAGCTCAATCCATCTGCCCATCTGCTGGATTTGGGCTTGGCTGCTATTTAGCAGTACACAACCTCTCTCCAGCACAGTCTAAGCTGTGAAGATAAGCCTGAATGAAACCACAGAACAATTCAGGATTGGCATAATGTAAGAAGACACAGCTTGGCTGAGCTAAGCAATAGTGACATTTTGATTACTTTCCTAAAGCAGAAAGAAACAGCTAATGCATTGACTTTTTGTAAGTCTCCATTTGAAGATTTCAGCGAGAGAGGAATGCAATTAACACAAGGCACTATGACAAAAGGGGAACAGCAGAGTCCTGTAAGTTGACCCACTTGGAGGATCAAAATGAACAGTATCTGCAGTGACAGGACTAGAATTATGGGGTAGATTAGACAGCAAATTGCTGCTCTGTACAATGCAAGTTACTCCTAAAGGCAGCAAGTCTAATTACACAATAGCGGAAAGGTTTGGCTTCCTACTGGAACGAGGATGAGCTGAGGCTGTGTCATAAATTCACTCTAGGAAATGTCTTGATTTTTGTCTAAGTTAAAAATTCTTTTTTTTAAAAAAAAGCAGCAGTTATTTATAGATGTGTTCTTACCTGTAGCATCTTAGACATTTTCTAGATTAAAAAATATTTTCCCTGTCTCTAGAAATTTTATGTTCCTCACCCATTTCATTCCTCTATACTTGGTGAACTAAGTGCATTTCACTCCAAAGCATAGAGCCCCTTGATATGATGTCTCTTTCTAGATCCTTTCTGCTTTTTGTAGAAGACCTGCACATGCTCTGCAATACTTTTTTTAAATCCTCGAGATAATTATTGAAAATGAGGATTCTAAAAAGAATCTCAAAAAGGAAAGCCAGAATAGACAAAGAGCAGAGAAGATCAGTATTTGTGTGACAGGTTGTATCTATCTTTCTCATTGGTTTTCTGAAACTCTCCCATGCAGTGCTTGCAGCAACATTTCTCTGCTTGGCTGAAAGTCATTCTGGAGCACAGAATTAAAATGGGAAAAGCCAGAGCCCTTGCTGACTGGAGGTGCCAGCTGAAGGCCCTGCGAGCTTGGAGAAACTATACTTGGGCCCAGAAAGTAGAGAAGGAGACAGAGCAATTGGAAGTTCATCTCCAAGATCAAAACAGGTAGTGACCCTTTACTGTGGAATTCCTCTTACTGCTGCCGTACTTGGACAGAGCAGTGATCAGGGACTGTAAAAGGAGCTCGTCAGTTATCCAGCAGGAAGGAAACAGCAGCTTTTTGAGAAAATTGCTATACTGCCTGCAGGCTGCCAGAGGCATTGTGGCACAGATGAAAAGGAGGACAGATACAAACAAGAGCTTTAGCACTTTTCAACAAGCCTGTGTCTCAGTCTCTGTAGGTGTCTTTCCTAGAAAACTCACCCTGGCTTGCTCTGGACTCCAGAGAATCTGCATTGCCAAATTTATTCCTGATTAATATATTTGCTGTTTCAGTAGATGTATAACAGAGATGATTTTGGCCAGTGCCTTTCACTAAGGAGGCAGTTGGATGAATTCCCTATCATCCAGGAAAATACTTCCCTTCGCAGGTGTCTGGCAGGCTGCAGTGGTGAGACACTGTCACTTTGCCATATGCTGCTGGCCAGGGAACATGATACCTCTTTTGCAGCTGTCCTGCATCTCAGAGATGCCACAGGAAATTGCAAAGTGTGTACTAGTGAAACTTAATTCAGAATAGCCGGCATCCTTTCTATCCTCCTACTCCTCCTTGGAGGAGCTCTGTACATCTTCAGAGGGCCTTCAGAGTTGAACAGCAAAAAGACTGAGGAAGTGATGTGGCTTTGTTCCTGGGCAGAAGCCTCACTTCTGCCATAACACAAACACTTTCTCAATCAGGAAAACCCAACTGGCTGTGGAGCACAACCAGCGACGCCTCCTGTGCTGCTACTTTCTGGCCTGGCAGCGCTGGAGCCGAGCAGAGACGGAAAAGCGAGAGCTGCAGATGAAGAGGGAGCAGACAAAGAGAAAGATGCAACAGCTGCTGGAGGCTATATCGCTGGAGACAGGTGGGGACAGGCCACTGGAGGTTAACAAGCCTGGGACAGCAGAAGTAAACCATCATCAAGATTTACAGCAAGACAAGGTAAATCTTTCTCAGGTAGTTTTGCCTATTGGCATAGCAGTACTCTTAGAAAGTACTTACTTTATATGCAGTCTGAAATAAAGAGTACATTGTCTCAGAGGAAAACCTCTTTCCCAGGATGACCCCCAAATATCTCCCTGCAGCTGTTCAGGAGAGAAGTCTAAAAATCAGAGGCAAATGTGAAGGACAATGGATGAGTTTTAAAAATAATCTCTAGTGCTGCCAAAGAACAACCCTTCGTGTACTCTGAGTTGCAATGAGCATCCCACCCCCAGATCACTTTTATTGAGAGATTAGTTACATTTTTCATGCCATTGCACTTTTCCTGCTTTTAACTATGGAGGAAAAAAAAGGTTGTCACTCGCTGTTCCAGAATAATGCACATCACAGGGAGGTAAGAGAGGAGAATCAGAGGTTGCTCGCTTAAATTGTCATTTGTCAAGTTGGATCCTCACCTTCCCTTCTGTCTATGTAACCTGTACCACATCAGTGCTCTAATGTCAGCATTAGAGCTCAAACACACATATTACAGGTCAAGCTTTCTGTTTGCTTAAGTGTAAGCAAATGTTGATTCTTTCAATGCCTATACTATCCTAGTAGACATGTATTTTTCTTCTGCTGCACTGGTAATATTTGTGCTCTAGGAATGGGACTGAATTTAGGGTTTGACCTAGGAATCAGAAAGCAGACCTTATAGCTGATGCCTCCTCAGAGAATGACCATGTGTCAGAAAAGTGGACCCTCATTCCCCATTGTGCACCTGTTTTGTGGTAACTTTTATCAAAGCTGTAAAAGAGACATGAGGAAGCGGGAACTTGTAGACTTCTCTTCCATTTAAAAGGGGACTGTTCAGTAGATCAGCTGTGTAGATCACTTCAACAACTGGTTTTAATTTTATTCTCCATCTGAGCTCTGAGCAGGGACAACACGGTCCAAAAGCGAGTGTGCTAATTGCTGCGAAATGAGCTGTCCTAAGATGTGCTCCCTAACAAAATAGTCAGAATGTATTCCTGCTAAAGCTCTTGTCTAATCAGGATTTCTTCCTCCTGGTGAAATGGCACACAGCTTCTTAAGAGTTCTTACCCACAGCCTCCACTTTGTGCATAATGGGGGGGGGAGCCTCTGGCCTGACTGGATAAGAATTGCATAGCTGAGATTACCCTACTTCTCAGGCATCTCACTAGATTTGCATTAAAAAAAAACACTATGCAGGAAGGGCAGAAGAGTGCTTAGTTTTAATCAATGCCAATTTTTCCTCATTTCTTTTGGTTTTTCCCCTAGCCAACTGAAACTTGCCTTATACAGAAAGAGCCTGATCAGACCAGAGACCAGTCTTGTTGGGATATTGTTCACACATCTCATTTCTGCAGAAATCCCAAATTCGCCTGGGAGATTACAATTAAACATGCAGCCCTGAGTGCCCAGGACCAGGCTATGTACAGGAATCAAATAGCCACAGTCCTCCAGCAGTTTCAGGCACCCAGTCCAAAGACATCTCCTGCTTATGGTAGTCGATTTGAGCACCGTCACGCCTTCCAGCAACGTGTGATTGAGGAGCAGAGGCAGCAGCTTCAGAAACAGCAAGAGCTGATCCATAAACTGCAGGAAAATCAGAAGCTGAGCAGAGATAAAGAAGAGGGAGCACAAGCTATGGCTGTAACCCAGATGTTTAACAGTTCTGTTTCTCAATCCACAGAGAAAAAAGAATCCAGATGCAAGAATACAACCCCTTTGAGGTATATACCCTCCATAAAGCAAGGTCAGTTAGTCATCATGTCTCAATCCCACTCAAGTTGAGCCAGAATTTGCCAGGCACATTTCAGTCATGCTAGTGCTATCTGCTGTTCCTCTCAGTTGTGACTTAGCCTCAAAGGAAGTATCAGACTGGCCACAGTTCTCTGTCCTTCTCCCTCCCTGCACTGGCTCAACATCAGGTGATCCATGCAGGATCTACTTAGAAACAGCAACACCAGTGTCACCCATAGCAGCTGCAGGGATCTGTTTAATTATGAATAAAAAGAGCATCATCCTCCCTTATTTTAGACCATGCAGGAGCCCTGGAACTCCATTGTAAGGGTGCATCATCAGTCCCATTTCAAGGAAAAGTGTTTCAGGGATAATGCAGCACAATGGAGAACAGAAACAAGAAGGCCATAGGTGGTAGGTGTGAGACATAGTTTGACCACATTCACTGAAGAATTTCCTTACTCTTTTTCTTTCATAGCCCATCTGATTCTTATGGGCCAGAAAACACAAGGGCAGCAATGCAAGGCAGGAGGCCTTCCAGCCGGCTGACCTCACCTCATCCCATACTGAAAGGTATTGTTCTAGATAGCAAACACCATTCCAGACCACTTTTCTCAACAGCTTGTATGGAAGTGTCTGTCTTTGCCTCAACTTTGCTGGTTGATGATATGGTATGGAAGTAAAATTCTGCACTTTCTTTCTCAGTCTAACAGTGCTGTGAGAGGAGAGGGTGAGTTGTTTTCTTGTCTGAGTCAGGCATCTGTAAAACCTGGGACACTGCAAACTCCTCATGCCCACACTTAGTACACTGTTGTGGCAGTTGTTGCAACACCTGTGGCTGCCTCTGCCATGACGACTCAGAGAAGCTGTACAGGTTTTTTTGCCATCAGTCTCATTCCCTTTGTTATGCATCCAAGTAACACATAAACTAGCCAGTCGTTTTCATCCAACTTTGACAGAGGTGTTGAGATTTCAGAGGCAATTAAGTGCCTAGCCAAGGTTTTGTGAGACAACAATAGCCAGGACGGGAAGGAACTCCACATCCATGCCTTTTGTAAGATATCTCTCCTTCTCTGGCCACACTGGCACAAAATAAACACACAACATAGCCTTTTCATTAGTAAACTAGAATCAGGGTTCTGTTATATTCCTCGGTCATGTTCTTCTGTATCAATGCAGGCTAGTGTCAGTCTGCATGAAAAGTTGTCTGGAATATAATCATTGTGATGTTTCAATAGTTTGGGATCAGCAGACCTTTTTTGGCCATGACAGTTGGGCATTAATAGTTGTCTTTTACTACCTGTGTTCATCTCCATTGCTACCTAGTCCAAGCCATCGTTCACCCTGATTTGCCTGAACTCTGTACACCTTAGAGACAGAAAACATATTTTTCAGAGCATTCAAGTAGCTGTGTTTAAAGATCCCAAAAAAATTCAGTGAAGAAGTTATCATGGAATATCCCTCTGAGAATCCTGGGACAGCTGAGAGGAGAAAAGAATCTGAGGAAACATACTATGGTCAAAACATTTCAATGCCTCCCAGTTATTGATTGCTCCATCTTGTGCTTTGTTTGCAGCTGCAGAGGAAGCAAGCACAGGTTCCCAACTCCTCTGCATGTTCTGTGTGTAACACCTTTGCTGATGGCCAGCAAGATCACTCCATTGCAATTTATCTTCTGAAAGAAGCGTTAAGCAGTGGTTTCTTACTAGTGGGACCAAGTACTTGTATGTCCCTGTGACAGTGATGCTGTCATAAAATTGCTTTTAAATAAGCAGTTAGAGCTTACTGGAGACCTCAGAGCAATTGCTGCTAAATCATGTGCCCTGAGCCTCAGGCAAGGCAGGGAGGGGCAAACCCTCTGAACACTGTTCTTTCATAACTGAGCCCCGTGGTGGAGAGAATGTAATTGCTGTGGTCCTGAGTCATCTCCCAAATGTTTAAAGGTCCCTTGTTGATGACACTGCCAGCTGCAAGGGCCAGCAGGAAGCAAGTCCCTTTGTGCTGGCATTGCCAGGGCAGTGGGAGCATGGCTTAGAGTGATGCATCCTTGTTCACCAAACTTCTGCCATTACACCATAGCTCATTTCCACTAAGCCTTTTGTCCTTTGTTTCTGTAGGGATGGAGGAGAGAGCAATTCAGCGGGCAGAACAGAAGAAGAAAATAGAAGAAGCCAAACAACGAAAAGCAGAGGAAAAATTGGTAAGGGAAGCGGAAAATGAAACAAGTGTCTTTCACATCATTCCAGTTACAAGAAATATTGATTAAACCCCAGAGTCAGGGACTGAGAAGAGGCCCTTTATCCAAAGCAGGAGTTTTATGACTTGTGAGAAAGCAAATATGCATCACATATCAAAAGAAGTAATTACTGCTGGTTTTGCAGCACCAGCCCTCCTGTAGCATAGACAGATACTTCATCTTGAAGTTGCAGTTCTAGAAACAGCCTCCCTTACCACCCCCAAACACTTTTTTTCACACCTACCCCATGACTGTAGCTTGTCTTTGCTGAGAATGGTAAGGGTGGAAGTGCACCCAGAGATCCACTTGATGGGACCTGGCAGTGGTGGGGTTCCCCTCCCTGCCTTTCCTCTCTGGTCACATGCAGCTTGAGGACATGCAGTCTCACCTAGTAAAAATCTGCATATTTCTGGCAAATCTCTGCTGAAGAGGGAAGATACTGATGATGTTGGTATAGTTAATGTACAAATTCTGTGATACACATACAACAGAGGAGCCTTCTTCAAGTCAGGGTATTAAACTGTTACTGAAAATATTACTAGTAAATTGCATTAGGATTAGAAAGTGTGATCTTCACTGTCTGGGGAAAGAAATGTTTGGGTACCTGTAATGCTGCTTTGCATGTGGAAATGAAACTTGAGAGCAGAGCCTAGGGATTCAGAACTGACTTCAGTAATCAAGTTCTCAATAAATGACTTGGTGTATGGTTTACATTTTTTTTGATGAATAGTGGACAAATACTATTAACTTAGGGGAAAGACAGAAAGAAAGAAAGAAAGACAGAAAGACAGAAAGACAGAAAGACAGAAAGAAAGAAAGAAAGAAAGAAAGAAAGAAAGAAAGAAAGAAAGAAAGAAAGAAAGAAAGAAAGAAAGGCATCTAGGCAGTAAAAAGGACAGCCCCTCCTCCCTGTCCTTTCCACAGTTCACTCTTGAGCATGGATCGTGTCTAGTATGTGAAACCTCACCTGCTGAAGTTTCAGGTGCTGGTCAATATTAGAGGAATACTAGGAAAGTTTAAAGATCTGTGTTCATGGAAACGGTCACATGAAACAAATTGAATTTCACCTTTCTCCATTTCAAGGCCCAGCTGAAGGCTGAAGAGGAAGCACGACAGAGGAAGGAAGCTGAGGAAAAGGAAGCACAGCGGGAAAAACGCCGGGAGGAGAGAAGGCAGCAGAAGCTGGTGACCAAATGCCTTACCTGTTTCTTCCCCTTTAGCAGGGATAGGGAAGAAGATCCAATACCCACTGGTACTCAGTCAGCAGCCAGAGTAATGTGAAATGAAGGTCTTCATTGGTAGAGCAGAGTTCCACAGCACAATACCCACAATACAGACTCACAGACTGCCCTCTTTCTGGCAGTGTGAGGGGAAGGGCTGTGTCCCAAATGTGCTATGAAGTATATGCTGTCTGTCTCCTCAGCAGGACTAGAGGTCCCAGCTGCTGGACATTCTCTGATGAAATATAGCCACATAAGTCCCTCACAGTGGCAGCATGTTCAGTCTACTTTCAGATTCCTTCCACTCTTGTCACCCCTCCAATGTACGCAGTGATACCAGTGACAAACACATCATTCAGAAGTAAACGAGCCTGACAGTTATATCAAGGGCACCTTTTCCTCTTGGAGCTAACCTAGGAATAGCTGCACTTCATTATTCTTACTTGGAAATGAGTTCTCCTAATAACCCAAATAGCGCATTTGAAATCCTACAGGAATTCAACCTACAACTACTGTTCTACTTGGATTGAGTGTTTTAGAACATTTGACCTTCATTCCTGAGTATCAGTCAAAAGCAGTGTTACACAGTTACGAAATACCCCCATCCCTCCCCTGCTGTTTAGGCTAGATTAAGTGGTAGGGTCCATGCATAAACTCAGAATAATTTTTTGACATGTTTTGGATGTCAAAGAAGGTTCCTGCTACATCAGCAGTTGTGGTAGCCACAAGTGACATGTCTGTTACAGTAACTCCAGACTGCAGTGCTGATACACAGCCCAAGGGAGTGTCCAGGAATACCATCATCTCCCAGGAGAAGACATGTTTTAGGACACAGTTCTACTGCATGGGGTCATGTCTGGTCTGCAGTGCTAAAGCTGATGCAGATCCCTAATTCCTGTCAAGTCAGAACCTCCAGCTCCAATATGATAATCTATTGCCATTGCTTGATATCCCCTTCATCCTGAGGGAATTAAAACTACTGCTTTTTGTATTGCAGAAAGAACTGGAGAAGCAGAGAAGGCTGGAGAAAGAGCAGCAGCTCCACAAAAAGGCTAGAGATCACTATGAGGAGGTCCTTCTCAGAAAGCTAGGAATAGTGCCATGGAAAAGGCTGAGGGAGCAAGCCAAGGAAAACCTAGTGGTAAGTGCTGAGGGTAAAGGAAATGACTGGTGCAATAGGAGGAAGGGAAAAAGTAGATGCAGCACTTAGCAGAAGCCTTAATAAGCTTTTAGGCCAGGTAGTGATGGAAAAAGCAAAATTCTCCCTGCATACCCTGCCTTATATTAATTTTTAAATCAGCCCATCTGACAATAATCATGAAAAGCCATTAAAAACCTGCAGGGATGGCATCCTCATTTATAGCTGATTAAACAGGATTATACAGCAAAAAAAAATATTTAAAGTCATATGACATGAGCCTGCCAGTTTTCTTACTCCACAGCAAAGCTTATCAGTGAGATACTGCCAAGCAACTTTAGCTGCAGGAGTTAACCCCAACCTATCATCAGGGCTTTCACTCTCTATGAAGTTCCTGGTACAGAGTTGGCCACTGCTAGTGGCAGGACACTACAGGTGATAATCCAACAATCTATTCTATCCTGGCCCTATCCTGAGTGCAGAACAGTGAGTGGCAGATTCTGAGACCTCAATGCAGGAATGTTGCTAAAAAAACATTTCTGCACATGACTGAGTCAGCATCCCTTATCAGGGAGAGACCGATAACACTCAGCTGTATCCTGAAAATCCAGCCAGAGCCCCGGCTAAGTTGGAAAGCTTCCATTTAAGTCACTGGAACTGGAGCTACTCACAGTACTTGACCAAATGCACGCAGGCTTCCAGCTGGGAAGAAGTAGATGGATACAAGCTGTTCCGTATGTCCACCCTGCTGGTCGGCATTATGGACAGGCTTGGACTAAGCTGTTACAGGCCATGCCTCTGCCCCTTTCACAATCAGTTAAACTGAGCATCTCATTCAAAAGGGTATTCTCTACAAGTGATGCAGCAGTGGCCTGGTAGAGAGACTGCTTTTGTTCCTTATGCTGACCCCACTTGATTGGATCCTCTAAGTTATTCCAGCTGTCAGAAATCTGGATTTGGGTGGCCCCAAAAAAGCTGAGATGATTTTCTAGTGCACTCAATTTTCTATGGCTTTATACTTAGGTGGTCACCAGTTCAGGTAACCAGCTGCTGTCTCTGCTGTCTTCACTCAAGGTGGCACAAAGGCACCACAGCTTGGGCCTGCAGAGGAAATGCCTCATGACTTGGCTGCAGGTTGCCCAGCAGAGTCTCAAGGAGAAGATGTCTCGGGCTGAGGACTTCTATTCCCATATGTTACTGAGATGGGGCTTCAGGAACTGGCTAAAGGTTGGCCTGCACCACAGTGGAGAAATGATACCAAGAGGGCTGGCTGCTGCCACACTTTCCTGTAACCACAGTGCCAATTCACTCACCTGTAGCACAACCTTTGCCAAGTTAATGCTATCTTCCCATTCCAGCAACATTATTCCCTTTTTCAAAGACCTTCTCTCAGCTTCTCACTCTCCATCACTGTCTTCCACACAGAATTTTCTCTTACACACTGCTCCTCTACCATCTACTGTCTCACCTGTTGATTTTCCTCCACTCCTGTGCCCACCACCCTTCACTGTCACAGTCTCAGCACTGTTTTATTTATTGGGCCAGAGGTTGGGAGAGAAAAGAAGAAAAAAAGCCATTCTCACCTGTTTCTTTGTCCTCCTCCCCAGTACAAGGATTATCTCTCTGCTCAGGAGGAGAGAGCGAGTACCTTCCGCACAGTCTGCCTCATGAGGAAGTGTTTCTGGGCATGGTTTGATCATACCATGGAGGAAAAAAGGGCCTTATGGGAGAGGCTGAAGATTGCTGCTGAACACAGCAACAGGTGAGTGCATACCCTTACTAGCAGTTCTTTTTACTTTAGTTTAATATTCTCTGTAGATTATTTTAGGGGCTACTTTTTGACAGGTCACCTTGTCCCCAGGAACACACGGAACAGGTTCTATACTGCTGGTGTTTTGCTTTTGTGATACGCACAGACAGCATCGGCAGAGGTTTATGCTAAGTTTCCATGCAGCTTGGAAAAGAAAGTGTAATGGCACCCTTCACAGGACTTCTAAATCTGAAAAAAAAAGAGAATACAGTGAAAGCCTAAGTACAGATAAGAAGCTGAAACTTTCTAAGCTGATTAGCAGATCTGGCCATGCGGCTTCCGCTAAAAGCTGCCTTAGGAAAATCTTTAAGTACAATTATAGCAAGCCAAATGATTGTGTAGGAATTATGTAGTACTTTTTTGTCCACAGCAGATGATTTAGTTCACAAATCCAAAGTTGATCAACTAGAAATCCTACTTAAGGAGTCTTTATATTTATGCCATCACCAGCCTGACTTGGCAGCAAAAACTAGAGCAGTCAGTTCTACCAATCATGATTGGAGCTGGACACACCCAGTCCACTCCTTGTGCCATAAAATGCATTCTAGTAGGAAGAAAAAACTATTGTCAAAGTTCAGCAGAGAACAGAAGTCTGTTCACCTGCCTCATCATGGAAGCATGGTAGCTGCATGCAGTCATGAATAGGCTGTGCCTGTGCACAGCCCCAACAGGATCTGCAGCACCTTAGAGGAAGAATAAAATTAAATTAATCTCTTATGTGGTAGAGCAAACCTGTTCTAGCTTGCTGTGTCAGTAAGGTCTGAGTAGTGCACAGTTTAGCATTAACAAGCCAGCAAACTGGAGGAACTAGGGGAAAGTCAGACCCAGGAAGAGACTGGATTCATTCTATATATGACCTCCTATTAGGAGCATAATCACCTGACCTTCTTCTTTATCTCTTTCTTGACTTGCAAAAGGCAGTTCAGACCTTGCCATAACAAACTCTTCTTCAGACAGGACTGTGGTTCCCTATTGCTTGTATGGGAACCCAGGGCAAAGGCACCTTTGATGGGATGATTAAAATCAGGTAAGAATTGGAGCCCAATGAGCCCAGCTGCCTGCACTCCCAAGGGGTTGGTTTGGACCAAATGAGCCTGCATTTTTCCTAAAGAAACTTCTTTCAGAGGCCCTATTCATTCTTCAGAAAACCTCTTTCATCTTTAGAGTGCTAAGCAAACAACAGCTAATGAATCCTGTCAGAGAGAAGAGCAGAATTCTTGGTGGAGAGGAATAGAAAAGGGCAATATGTTATTCTTCCCCAGCATGATTGACATTTCAATGAAATGGTCTGCATGTAGATGTTTAACATGCGACAGCCCTGACTAACAGCAGAAAGGACAAATCTTCAAGATCTGAATTCCCCCTTCAAACAGAAGTTCTCTTTTGATTGCCACTTATGTCATGTACACTTCTGCATGTTGTCACTTTGTTCCTTGTGTCCCTAATTTCTTTCAGGAGAATTACACTTAAGGCATTCAAGGCATGGAGGCAGTACCCGTTGCTGATGAAAAGGGAAAGAGAAAGAGAAGAAAGAAGAAACCAGCTACGCAGGAGAGTAGCTGAAATTCTCCCCAACTTCCAAACATGACAGAAGAGAGTCAGATGAGATGGGAAGGAGACAACAAGACCAGTTCAGTTCAGTGCTATCTCCCTGCTGACTGAAACAAGTCCAGGGAGAAGGCTTACAAAGTGCAGAGGATCTTAGAGCCAAAGGGAGCTCCCTGTGGTCACTGTTGTTGTAAACGAAGCAGAGCTGGAAGCTTATTGGACAGTTCCATCAATTCCATGATGCACTTCATGAACTTAGTCCTTTTAAGCCTCTGTAGGGGTGTCTTGGCTGGTGGCTATGAAGCCCAGATAACCAAATCTAGCATAGGGTGTCTTTGAGGCCAAGGCCATTTCCACATGCAGAGCTAGCTGCAGCAATGACATGAATCCTCCTCCATCCAAGGAAGCACAGAACTAAACTGCACCTCTTTTTGCCAAAGCAGTAATCTGGTGCATTTCTGTTGGCAGTACTATGTAGAGTGACAGCTTGTCCAGAGGACAGACAGACCTGGCTGTCAGCTGACCCCTAACTACTGCTGTGAACTTGGCCACCCAGAGCACAGTTTCTAGCTAACTGTGCCAGGAAAGTTTGGATGGGAGGGGGAAAGAGAAGAGTTTTTTTTATGCAAACCATATTTGCTAATGATCCAGATCATATAATTGGATATGGAAAGTCTAAAACCTGGGTTCTTTTGCAAGAGGCTGCCTTGTTTGCCCACTGGCCAGTTCATAAGCACAGTGCTTTGATTTTGGTACCAAGCAGTGGTCCCAACTTTATGAGCCTCAATTGTCATTTAAACACTTCCCAAGCTATTTAATATTTCAGGGTGTATTGTGCAAGTCTTGATCGAGTGTTTCACTTGATCCAGTACTTCAAAGAAAAAAGACAAAACTCCAAGAAAAAGGCAGATTGTAGGTTTTACAGAAGCTGCTGACATGATTAAAATGGAAGTTTCATATTACTGTTTAACCTTAACCTGCAGCATAATGCAGACAGGGTAATGCCATTCAGGTACACTATGTCTTCGTAACAACATAAGGCAGGAAGCTGGAATGATTTCCCTCTCACAGCAAGATAGGCAAAGCTTTCCAAAAGCATTTGGCAGTACAGGAAGTACTTGAGTAACACCAGAAAGACAACAGTTTACTGTTATCTTGTAACAGATCCTTAGTAAAACCCATATATGCACTGGAAGTTTCCAATAAACCCAAATCTGAAATTAATACAACTGAGCTGTTGGTGCACATTGTGTCAAGCCAACTGAATGGCACTGGACAAAAGGCCAGAGCCAGGGACCTAGACCAGCATTAAGTGCTGCAGACAAAGTGGCATAGGACAGGGTGGATGCTGAAGCACAGCAGCACATTCCAGAGCTTTAGCATCAGGAATTTGTCCATGTGGACACAGGGATGTGGCCAGAAAAAGGACCCTGCCCACAAAGCCAGGCTGTTGGTGCAGGTCTGAAGACAGCTGTCACTTGCAGGTACCTCCCACAGCCATCCTCTGCAACACCCAAACATTCCCCATCTCCCACAGGCGCAGTGCAGACCCGACCAGCAGCAGGTCAGACGGGCGCTTTCTCCAAGTGCAGGGAGCTGAAGGTGCCTGCATGGAGTGTGGGCGAGCTCAGACCATCTGGCTGCATTAAGAGGCAGATTGTGAGAGGAAGCACAAGCTGGGAGAGGCTGGATAACATGTGTTGCGGGGAAGAGCAGGGAGCATTTTTTGCAGAGGACTGAGCCAAACAGCCAGGGAGGAGCAGAGCTGGGGCTGAGCTCCCAAAGTAATGCCCCAGTGCAGCCAGCAACCACACCTGGTGCTAACAGCAATCCACTTGCTCTTGGGACATTCTTTCCTATTGGAAGTCTCTGCCAAGTAGTGCCAATGAGCTCCTGGAACTCCTGAACCAGCCCTTATACTCCCATTTTTCTGCTGGAATTTTCCTCTCTAGCGGGGCTTGACAACACAGCAAGGAAGGCCAATGGCCCACCTTCCACCTGGATTTGTGTAAGGACAATAGTAACCCAGAGGACAAAAGGTGAGAGAGAGAAAGCATCTCCATCTGGAGAGAAGCAGCATTCCAGCCAGCCAGAGACAGGACATGCTGCAGCTGTAAGGGGAGGAACAGGCATTTTTAGCAGCAGAGTGGATGTGCCCACATGCAGCCTGGAATTGACCCTAGTAACAGGCTGGGCATGTATTGAATTTACATCTTGCACAGCTAAAAAGGTGCCCCAAACCACTGGCTACTCAGGGGTGTATCCAGTTTACTAAATTGCAGATTCTTTCCCTAGCAATGCACATTTTGTCCTCAAAGCCCACAGCTCCTACTCATCTCAGTGCCCACTCACCATGAATGAAAATCATGCTGCTTATGTGGGGCTTTGTTGCCTCCAAAGAACTTGAAGTACAGTCAACACTTTGGAAACTGTCCTTTGTTTCCAATACTCTGACCTTCCAGGGTTTCCTTCTATTCCTAGTAGCTTTGAAAAGTTCTCCTGACAAGATGCTCTTTGGTTGGACAGTTGCAGCAGCAAGGAGCCAAAAGAAGATCCAGGAGCTGTGCTTTGACAGCCCTGGCCTACTGCCAGTGCAAGCATGGAGCTGAAGCCTCTGCTAGATCTGGCTGAGGGACAGGGAAGATGTTCAGGGATCAGGCAAATTCATACTGAACATGGTCTAAATCAAAAGGGACATGAGAAGCCCCTTGACTTCCCTTACTGATGCTGACATTTGGCTGAAACAACTCATACCTCCTTGGCAGAAGCAAGGCCGTGCCAGATGATGCACAGGATACCCCTAAAATCCCTGGCACAATGCTGGTGTTTTGCAAATTGAGGCTCCCACAGGAGAGTGACATGAGAGCTTGTCAGACCAAGGAAACAGCTTCAGCTTGCAGTTGTGCCAGAGCATTCCTCCTGCTCCAACACTTGGCTAGATGCAGATGTCAGTGCCTTAATGCTGGTCATCAGCCCACACTCACAGCTCAGGCACACTCCTGCCTGTCAGCTCCTTGCTTTTCTTAGCAAGAGAGGGAGGTGGCTGCACAGCCAGGCTTTCGTTCTCTTGCACAGGGGTGGGGGGAGGACTTTTACTGCAGTGCAACGGCAAATACAGAACCTTGAAGTGATTGCAAGTTCCCCATCCTCTAGCAAGACCCCTGCCCCTACAGCATTTTAACATGGTTTCCCAAAAACCTTAACCACAGAAATACCATCTTCTCATTAAATCTGTACACCAGTCACTTCCAAGTTCCCCAGGCCCTGCACAAACTGGATCTGAAAGGGTGCCTGAAATATTAAACAATTTCCTCTCCTCCCCCCAGGCAGGGAGGAACAATAGTTAGCCTGGGAGGGGTCCATGGACCACTGCAGTGTGATCCACAGCCCACATATTTGCAAACCTGTTATCCATTTCAGGCACCTGCCCCAGCATTGGACCTTGGCCTTCCCAGCACAGGAGCTGCCATTCCAGGCATGGCCCTGCTCTGCAGGGCCAGCACAGCAAGCCACAACAGGGGAAAAAAATAAAAGCTAGGAGGAGACAAGTTTCTTGTGTCCCCGTCAACAGCACTGGAGTTAAAGCTAGTCATGCTTGGGTGTCCAAGTCTGACAACCTTCTGCAAACACTAGTCTCATCCAACTGAAACCCTACTGGAAGGTCCTTGCTGTCAGCAGTGCAAAGTTATCTTCAAACGAACAGCTGAACAGCAGACAGAAGTACCACAGCAAATCAAAGGTGAGCTCTGGAACAATCAAAGGTACCTGTGAGTCTACTCATTAAAAGTTATCTTGACTTTCAGCAGCAGTCCCAAGATACCAACAGAATTAAAGGTTACATCTCTTCCCACTATCTACAAGGAGAATATCCTATATAATTGCCAAATATGGCTTAGAAAAGAGTTTAAAGCAAGAGATTGTTCCTTTTTGGGGTTCTGGGTGTATTATGTGGGCAGGTGTCAGAGGGAAAGCAAGACACAGGATAAAAAGGCCTGGAACCTGCTCAGATACTGATAATGCATTGCTCATAGGATTAACTGCTACCATTCAAATTGCTACCATGAGGGAATGTCTCTAGGATGCTGAGAACTGCCAGCAGGTCTCTCATCTCACCACCAACAAACCCAAAGGTCAACCTTTGCAGAACTGGACGAACATTTGTTTCCCAAGTTTTCCTTAACCTTTTGCTCCCTTATTACCCAGTCCAGCTCTCAGCTGAATAGCCATGAGATAGTGGCAGCTTTTGATCTTTCAGCTTGCCTGCATGTGTCGGCATAAATCAACAGGCCACTCCACAGATCATTTCCATTAATTTATTTTGATTCATTTGATACCCATTTGGAAACACTGAACATGATGCAAAATGGACATAAACATACACACATCAGTCTCTTCAAAAAAGCTCACAAATGTTTCACAAAATTTCTTCCTAAAGCTCAGGTTTAAAAAAAAATACTTTCCACTTTCTTCTAGAGCCCATCACTCTTTACATTACATACAGGAATTCCATAAAGACAAGATCTTGGGAGGCTGAATTCCCACATTTCACAAAGAAGCTCACCTGTCTGCAAACAGATTTTTGCTGCAGGATCCTCCTGGTAGTGGCAAAAAAAAAATCCTAGGTAACTGTAGAACTTTTCACTGAAAGGAATACAGGAAAACACATCCATAATCACACAGGCTTCCTGCCCTAATGAGGCAATATACATTCATATAGGAGGAAAAAACCAAGCACATGATTAAGACATTAGGCAGTGAGGCAGTATCCATTTTATATTCAGAAGAAATTTTACAGCAAATGGTTTCATTAAGACACTTGAAAGCAACCTACTTTGAAGGGAAAAAAAAGCACCATCATAGCATGAAGGCTGAAATGTGATTAGGAGTCACAAGCAGCACCAGCTCAGGCTCACCAGTGACTTTTGTCATTTGAGGACAAGTTAAATGGAGAAACAGTCAACATGGGGACCTGTGACTTGCCTACAAAAAAGCACAATGCAGGAAGACACAGTTAAAGAGTGCCAAGCCACCATTTACAGGATGTATCTAATGATGCACTGTTCCTACTACAGACACCAAACAGTGGGGTGATGGCACTTGGACACGGAGGGTGTAACATTACAACACCAGCAAAACCAGAATCCTGGGCCCCTAAGAGCTGCCTGGTCTGCAGAAGTCCACACTATTTGTGAAACAGCAAATGCCTCTTAAAAGGTGATGGGTAAAGCAAGATAAACTAACTTTTAAAGTCTGGGTGGAAAAACATCAGAGCTGGCTATTACCAAAATCCTTCCCTCCTCTTGGTCAGCTTTAGGTCCTCTCTTCACACACAGGGAAAATGATCAAGAGCCAGCAGGGTACGGTTTTCTGCACTGCCAGGCATACAGCTTACAGGTGAGACACTGGTCCTTGCCTGAAGGCCACACACAACCCACAAGTCCCCTGTCAAATGCAGGCTGCTCCCACTGCTCCAACCCCCAGGCAGCATGGATCTAGGCAGCTACTAACACAGGGAGCCCAAGGACTGACTCTGACTGTCTGTATGCCTAGATTTTAACATTTTTCTACCAGCATGGTCAGTACCAAGCTCAGCAGGA